ATAATAATATACTATCCATATAATAACATACTCTATTATTTGCTTCACTTGCGCGATACTGAATTCGTGAGTTAGAATTAGCGAATTCAACGAGCTTAGCCGTCATCATGCCCAGTCCTCTAATTTGCACTCCGCTTCAATGCGCAGTCCGCCAGCGATGCCCAAATACTGGGCATTCACACCGACTCGTGCATGAAAACATTCTGTAGACAGACGGCGCGCTGACTATCTTAAGGGCTTCGCCCGCCGACCACAATCAACCTCTACCTTTGTCAGGGTTTTTGGATAGGGTTTTCACTTGTGTGATGTCCCGACCCCACGAACCTGCAAATCTCCCGGCATTTAGCGGCACCAAAACCATCTGTTATTTGTACTGACGCAGCTCCTGGCCCACCTGAGTAGCGAAGTTGATGCACCTCCATAAGCAGCCATGTGGTCCATGCTTGCTCAGAATCCACTGCTGCTTCTTCCCCTCGTTGGTGGGATATGGGGACTCCGTGTGGTGTACGACAGGTACATTCGGCCACTACTACATTGCATTGAGAAGTCTCTGCAACTTCAACATGATATTCTGGCCCGAATCACAAACATGGAGACCCAGCTACAGGACCTACAACGGTTACAACATATAGAGCTGGAACAGCAGCACATCCTCACAGCGATTCATACTGCCAGCCTGCTGCCATCCATAGACGCACGCCTGCGCAAAATGGAGTATGAATTGGACCAGACCAGGAGAAGTGTCCTGCTGCTTGGCACAGACATGAAGGACCTACATAACATCGCATCGGAGGCAATTCACTTGCATGATGATTTCACCAATGAAGTAATTGATTTGCAATCTGATCTTTCTGATGCTATACCCGAGGTTCACAGGCTCTGTTCGATAATTCGTCATAGACTGGATGCTCAGGACTTTATTCTGCAATGCCTATTTTACTCTTTGGACGAATCCTTTCTACTTGCCTGTGACCTCGCTAACATAGTAGAGGAAGCTATCGATCCCCAGTGTCCGTATCCTTTCACGCTTAGGCTAGCTCATCGGCCTAGAGGCCAAGGCCCCAGACCCCATAACCGTCAGTACTATTGAATGCCCCTCCCCCACCCCCATATCTACTGTAGTTGCTTTTGCATGTCAGGAATTCTATGCATGACTGTACGGCATCGAATTGATGCATGTCTGCTGGAGCACTTCACTGTCGCACTGCGATAAAGCACATCTTGCTGACCCTGCGTTGCACACTCAGCCTCAAGCCTCAATCCAGAAGCCCTGCGGTCTTAACATTCCTAGCCGAGATGACCACCCCGCGTTGTGATGCTTTTACTCCCACCCAACTTAGTCGAGAATGCATATGGGGGCTCGAACTCCACAATCTACTCATCCAGTTCCCACCAGACCTCTCTTATGTTGCAGCATCTAGATTACTAACAAGAATGAGAAGGATGCGAGGTTTTATTCCTCTACAGCATAGTGGTTCGGTACTTTGGTCGTATTGGTGCACACTTATGGAGATCATTTGTAACACCCTAACAACGCATGAACAAGACCGTCCAGCCACAATCAGTATCACGGACAATAACCGCCTTTTCCTTTGGTCTGAAAGAATAGCCACGCGCATCTACCACACCTTAGACTGTTACTCAGGTATTCACACTAATTGGAATCTCCCGTACCTTTGGCCTACAGGCGATCTTCGACTTACCTGCGAACGGGTCTGTTTTGTGAACCCCACCGACCCCATTAACTCATGGCCTCCACCAGCGGACACACACTTCCGCTGGATGCATCCCCAGAGACCGATTTAGCCTCGAGTCACAGCCACACCATGCCAAGCCCCGACAACATGCCCCCTTGCGCGGAAGAACTCATACAGTCCTTGCGGTGTGAGCTTCGAAATATGCCATTGGGAGTGTCTAGGATAGCTGCTGACTCATTGTATTCCCGTTTTGCACAAAAGAGAAACACGTATCCTCTTGATGGGATTGTTGTTGTTCATAATGCTATTATGGAATGTGCACCGTACTGGCTTGACACATCAGCTGATCCTATTGCAGAAGGGATACGGGCCCATACTAGAGAGGAAGTACATGATTGGGTAGTATGGATGGAACGCCAAGTGTATGAAGTAGCTGTGGAAGTTGCACGAACTTTCATACCACCCCTTCTTGACCCTGACCCCACATCACATCCCGAGCCCGATTCCCCTCTGTTGTACCCTGGATTGCAACATGCTAGTACACAAACTGAATGGAGCATCCCACCGTAGTCCCAGCAACTATGGCTCAGGGGTGCTGCCCTAGCCGAAACATGGAAGCCCCCACTTGTGTACCTAGCAAGGCCCAACAGATCCTGCAACTGAAACAACATATCTTACAAGCATTTGACAGCGCTCCCGCCAAGTACAAACTGGCAGAAGGCTCAGGACACACACTCACTTTAGGTCTTAATCCCAGAGACCTTTCACGCCTCTGTGTAGCGACAGCTCCCCTACAGTACCTTGCTAGCCAACTGAGTAGTCTGTTCAAACTCCTTACCCCTAACCATAAGTTTTCCACCATTACGATCCGGGACTCTGCGGGTAAAGGGCTACATCGGGACCTAAGAAACTCCCACTATCCTCAAGCCGTCATACCCTTAACTGTATTTGTTGGAGGGGAGATCTGGGTTGAATCGCCAACAGGAACAACCCAGAAAACATATATGGGTAGCGTACTTCAAGGCACTCTGCACAGCTTTTCATCAGGCGATCCACTAATCTTCACGGGGAAACGGTTACTACATGCTACGGAAGATTGGGAATACAGACGTGTAGTGGCAGTCGCTTTCACGGTTATGGGATCTATTAGTATCCCTCGACCGCTCGATGAGGCGTTAGGTAATCTAGGATTCATCACCCCAGATAGCCTGGAGGTCGACTTCTATACACGGGTACTTATGGGACCAGGACAACTACGTCAGACCACACTAACAGATCTTCCACGATCTGGGGCCACAGGAATCTGGGGTGTAGGCAAACTGAAACAGGGGTTTCCCTTGACTCTTGTACTCAGTGATAGTGAGAATGAGAACAGTCCTCGCTCACCTGTATCTAGTGTGGAATCAGGGACACACACTACTAAGAAACACCGCCCTACACAGGCAGATTCCTATACCTCCGAATCACAAGCCACCCTCCCCTGGCCTTCAGATGCGGCCGCAGGCGGCTAAAATCATCAAAGCAGGAATGTGTGCAATATACGTTCCACGGAGTGCTGGCTAACCAAAGGGCTTTCCTTGGGGTTTCTCTTGTCGTCTTGTCTCGTATACACCTGCCTCCATGCTGTCTAACTCCAGTCTCTACTCCTGTCACCCTGTTTATCTATTGTGACTATGGTGATTTCGTGCACCCCAATCCCTGTAACCTCTACCTCTACATCCCCCACTTTAACATGTTTTATCCCTGTTCCCTAGCCCCATAGGTCCACGTCCTACAGGGTCTCCATAAATCCTTTAACATGTAGTCTCATTATGGGCCCAGGTTGATCTCCTTCACCATGAGGATTGAACCTTCATTACGGGTAGGCTGGTTACCCTATACTGTTTTTGGGGCTTGCACCCTAGAAACCACTAACCCGCGCCCGCGCTTGGCACACATGGGCCTGAGATTGGCTACCCCCGTCTGGCTGGCGATAGCGTACAACGCTGACTATGACGCCGGACGACGATGCTTGCTGAATTCGATTTTCCACTGCATGGCCTCCGCTGCCACATGCCCACTGCATGGTCTGCCATCTGGCTTCGTGATCTGCTCTGCATGCCGAATGAACTACATGCTGCATGTTTGCTGACTTGGAACAGCGCTGTACGACCTCAGCCTCAGATGCCGAACGTCACTGACTATGCATGTTTTCTGGAATTCAAACATACGGATGGCATCGACCGAGGGACTACAAAGGCGGCGACTCCATTGGGGCTCTGCATGTTTTCTGACAAGTGTGTCCCTGGCTGCCTACCAAGTCGCAATGAATGGACAAAAAAAAAAACCAAAACAGCTCGGGGATGGAAACCTGCGATGCATGGTGCATGGACCACCCAATTGGTACGGCAGAAGGACGAACAGAAGCTGGAGGGAATATGTCGCATGTGCATGCCGCTCAGTAAAGCAACAGGTGGTGATGAGCCTGGCTTACCTTGTCATTAGCGCTATTCTCGGCTGCTCTGCAAGTGGGGCCAACTGCATATCACCGTATGGTGGACCACATTGAGTACGATGCATGTGCATGGTATTCAATTTGGTCGAGCCAGTGGTGAACCTGAGCTGTATGTTGAGGGTTGCAAGCTTGGAATTCATATGCATGCAATCGGTCTTCCGAATCATGAGGTCTTGTACTCGATAGGCGCTGCAGTTTAGGAGTCTTCCAAGGTCTATAGGCTCACCAAATGATCCAAGCCCGACTGTACATTATTTCGTTTACACGTAGCTCCACGTATTCCGTAGTTTCACAACTTCTGTATGCAAGCAATTCATAGTGACAAGTCGGTAACACGCTGACTAGTATGGCAACATGGAGACTCATGTTCCACCAACAGGTCGTTAACTGCCCGGGTCGTCCTGACCCAGATCCTTTATTGGCCTCGTACTTTTTCTGTGTATATCATGATCCTCGAAAGTCTTTTACCTGAGCCCACCCCAACGATCTGTCTGAATATGCCACCTTGGAGTCCAATGATCAGCCATGTTTCGAAACAGGACTCTAAGGAGAGGCTTCGTTAGAGGACACAGTCACTTTAAGTGTTGATAGGTTCTGTTGCTGACATATCATGACGGAGCCTCTTAGTGTAGTCTCACTTTGCAGACGCGAACTCATATGCCTCGCCTGGATTGTCCGAGTGTGAGCGCCGAAACCCTAAGCCCTAAACCTTGCGGGCTTTGTCCTTAGGAGGGACGAAACCCCGAAACACTGAACCCCAGAACCCTCAAAAACCACGAAGCTCCAAACATCTCTGGAGCCCCGGGAAGGCTGCGGCGAAGATCGCTTTGGCTTCGGCCCCCTGATTACAGGAGTGGGTCCTTGCGAGGGTCCGTTTTAGGATCCCTTGAGGGTTTAGGGTACCAGGAAACCCCTGGAAAAGGGTCGTGATAGGTCCCAATAAGGGTTCACCAGGAAGAAAGAATGCGAGGCTTGAAGTTGAAAGTGCAGGATCTGGGGGGTCGGGACGTGTTTAGGCAGCTTGGTTAGCTTAGTCTAGAAGCACCGCAAAGCGGGGCATAACAAAGGGGGGCGCAAGCTTCCAAGTCCATTTGGGCCCAAATGGTGGCATTTTGAAAAGTACCGGTTTTCACCACTCATTCTCAAACTTGGGATCAGACGCTGCGTGCAAACTCCACCACTGTAGGGGCAGGTCAGCATTAGCGGGGAACGGTACAAAATGGCTCAAAGCTGCCCAAATCGGCCCAAATCGGCCAGTTTTGGGAAGTTCCTCGTTCAACGAGGGGATTTCCCCGGCCATTCAAGGATTAGCCTCATAACGGGACACACTCGGAACACGGCCATTGTAGGAGTTGTTATACATTCGCAGGGTCGGCTTAAAATGATCCTTAAGCCCCCCTGTGTTAAGCCCCCCTTAGCAGCGCCCGTTAAATTAATATGAACTCCAAACTGGGGTTCAGGGGTTGGGGTAGTTCACTTCATCATGAACTTCACGGTGGTTCAGTTCACCATGACGTCTAGACTAAGGCTCAGAGGCCCCTTGACTCTAAGCCACTTCATGTTCAGAAGGTTTGCAGATGTCTAGTAGACTTCTCCGGCCCCTTCTACAGGAATCATTAAAGCAGCAACAAGGAGACGAACCCGATCCAGAGACCCCAAACTCCTTGAGACTCTTGCACGATTTGCGAGTCATGCAACAGTCGAAATAGTGTCTGTTTGGTGGATTATGCTGGGTATAACCAAAGCCCTGAGCTTCTGCCACTTGTAAAAGTCTTCGCCCGACCCTAAACCCTAAACCCTAAGCCCTAAGCCCTAAACCCTAAGCCCTAAACCCTAAGCCCTAAACCCTAAGCCCGAAGCCCTAAGCCCTAAACCTCATCTTCCTCCCAGAGACCATCGGGGCCCGAATTCGGGGCTGAGGCTCCTGTCGCCCAGTGCCTCCGGACCCTGCGCCCGCTTTGGGAGCTTGGGGCCGCTAGGCTTGGGCTTAGAAGTTTAGGGGCTTAGGGTTTAGGGGTTTAGAGTTTAGGGTCTAGGGACAACTACAATGGAGTTTTGGGGGCTCCTTAATGTAATGATAGGATAATCTGCCCTCAAATACCCTATTTTAATCAGTGAGGCCCCATCGTAACCGTCGTCACCAGCATCACCATGTCACGGAGAATGCAAGGGGGGGCAGGAACAGAAGGGGGGGTTATTCGTTCAGGTTGTGGTTCTGGGTGGTGGTGATGCTGGTCATACTAGGTCATCAGCAACAGCCATAGGCCATAGAACCTAAACCCCATGTAAGCCCCAAAACCTAACACCTAAAGGGGAAATACCCAAGAAGACAAGGAGTGGTGCCCACACAGGTCTGGGAGTGCAGAATCTTATTTTTGCTCCAGGCATCCAAGAGCCTTACCTTGCTACTAAAAAGCCGCTCGCTTAGGGTTTCGGGTTTAGGGTAGGAGTATAGGGCACCAAGCAAAGGGATTCTACCGATCTGAGAAAGCTAGGCCAGCTAGGCCAAGCTCCGCGAACCCTTTTGGCCTTCCCTGCCAGCTCGAGGTAAGTTGCCTCGAGGGCTACCAGTACCTCGACTGTTCTTGATCTTCGGGATCTTTTTACCTTTTTGTGGTATGGGGTTTCCACAACGATTTGCATGGCGTCTGACGCTTATTCGCTTTTGCCTTTGGCCCCCCCCCCCCTCGTGCCTTGCTCATGTGACAGGCACTGGTAGAATTTAGGGTCGAAGGTGTAGGGTTTAACAAGCCAAGCCACAACATAACCACTTCCACCCAACATAAAATAAGAACCTGAACCCGGAAGCAAGGGTACCCCCAAGCTTCTTCTTTTTGACGCAACCTGAATTGCAAATTTTGTCGGTCCCGTCGGGGGTACGGGATCAGGCTCTTAAACAGTGGGTTCTTATAGGACGTTCACTGTACTAGAGTCTTACTAGAGGACCTTCGCACGAATCATGCTCATGTCCATGCTTCCAACTTTTTGGGTCTGGCTGCATATATCCAGGAGATTAGGGTGTTCGGATGTGTTTCGAGCTGGGGTTCAACCTTCCAGAGCAATCCCAATAGTACTGACTGAGTCAGGTAAGCCTTCACTCAAGACCATAACCTGTAAACGTAAGCCCCAAAACTTTGAACCCGATGCCCCAAACACCCCAAACCCCCAAACCCTTGCACCTCGCAGCCCCCAAAGCCCTCAGCCCCTAATTCCAACAAAAAACCCTAAACCTCGTTTGACTGCCTAAAACAGCCCCAGGGCCTGACCCCTAAACCCAAGCCACAAAAAGCAGTTTAAAGAGTTCTAGCCTCTGAGGCCCCTCTTCCTTAGCAGCCAGCGACGATGCTTGGCTCAAGAAAGCTCTTATCCCTTGTGCTTCAGAGTCCTGCACAACCCCGAAGCCTGCCGTTTTCGGAGTTTGGCTGTAGGATTTAGGGTTCAGGCTTTAGGTTTGGTTGGCGTGTTGATCGTGCACAACGGGTCTATCAAGGTTCTAGACGGGCTCTGCAGGGGTTGTATAGGGCTGTAGGATTTGGGACTTACCCGAAGTCTCCACTGTAGGTACCTGTTGTGGTCCAGTGGTTAGGGTCCGATGACTAAGAGGTAACGACCCTCACTAGTTGGAAGGAACTGCAACGCTGACTATGCTATGAGAGACTCTTCTGCTTCGATTTGAACGTACATAGCGTTCCAAGCCCACGGACCTACGTACTCGGACGGTTTAGCAGGAGACTCACAAGCATCGCCTTCCAAGATTGAAGCCGGGCATAGGGCAGCCTACAAATTCAGCACCTCGCAACAACATGGCGCACGAGTTGAGTTTACGGGTTGGTGCACACAAAATCTTCTTGTTTGAGCTTTCCTAACTTTGCAGCAATCTCGCGTCACATTTTGCAACGAGCTCTGTCAAGATCGGACCCGACCCGACCCGCGGTTCACTGGCCCCCCAAAAGGTAGAACACTGTGGGCCAGTGTAAAAGACCGCACGCCCGGAAAGATCTTGTAAGAAGACGAGGAATAGAAGAATAGTGGTCAGTAATCGTGGTTGTCAGGTGGTATTGTAGATATATGTCAGTACCCTAGAGCCCTACGGAAGACTACTGCTGATTATTCACTACGTTAACCCTTCACCAATATCAACAAAAAGCCTTAAACGCAGGCCTGAACCGCTCACGCCGCGATTGACCTAAAACGCAAAACCTTAAACCATAAACAGGGTCGTAGAATCCCTATATAACCCCTATATAATCAAAAAGGTTATCCTTGAGTTCCCCATGATACCCGACAGGTAGGAAGCCTAAACCTTAAACCTTGACTGTCCTTCAGGACTGACGCATGTCCTCTGCGATGAGGCGGTCCTTGGTGTGCCGCTGCTGGACTCGCAGGCCATCTGCAGCTTCGAGTTTCTAAGCTTTTGGGGTGGGGAATTTACGGTTTGGGGCAGAGACTGGGCTCCCAAGGTCTTCATGAGATACCAGCAATGGCAAACTTGAAACTAACTCATGTCAAGAAAAGGAATTATGTACTTCTTACAATCCACTTTGGGGCTGACCACACCACCCTGCACAAAGAGCGCAAAGGAGTTGGGGAACTCCACGACGGGGTTCGCCTTGCGTGCTCTAAGCAGGGAAGAAGGCGAGGCCGAATGACAAAGCGAGGATAAGGCTTCCTGTAAAATCCGCATGGCAGTTCAAGAAATCAATGCAACCCCTGAGATGATATGATAATATATATATATATATATACATATACACACATGTATGTGTATATACATAAATGTATATGTAGGTGTACACTATATAATATGTACTACATGCAACATCTAGTACATCGTATATAGTACAATATGTTAATATGTCATATGTAGTATGTAGTGTAAAATGGCATCCCTTTGTTGGGGGGTATTTATCAGAGGCCTACATGCCTGGTACTTCGTCTGTTTTGCTCCATGTTGCTGCCACTCTTGCGTTGGAGATGTCCATCGCCGTTCCCTGTGATGAGGAACTATTGGGACCTTGGTAAAGCCCATGAGACCTCGGCTGTAGAGATCGTTGGTTCATTCTTGGATTGCAAGAGGAATATTCTACAACCTAAACCCGCACGCCCCTTGACCCTAAACCGCTCAGACTCTTCAACCCAGCATACCCGCATATAAATGTTTGATGGAACCCCATACTACCCCTAAAAAAAAAAACTAGCCATTAACCTCGACACGCCGCACCCCCAAGGGCCCCTCCATGATTTGTAGAACCGGCGAGCAGGCTATCACCATAAGAGCAATATGGGTAAGCATACTCATAGGGTTTCATTAGGGTTTTTCACAGTTGTCGGTGAGGGGCTTAGGGCTTAGGGTGTGTAGGGGTTCAGCCATTTCTGTCTGGGGTGTAGGGTGTTGTTCTTAAAGTATGGGTTCAGTGGGGCTAGGGATATAGAATTGAACTGCAGCTCGTAGAAATCAAGCACTTATACAGCATACACCCAGAGCGCCAATTTGGGGACAGGTGATGATGCACATTCATGGTGCCGCTGGGTTCCTGCAGGCTCGAAACAGGGGTGTGGCTTCAGGTTTTGGGGGGTTTAGGATTTATGTAAGCTTCTACAGCGGGTGGACAAGGGCTCTGTTTGGTTATGAAGGGGCTTCCCCCGGTTCTGACGGGTTGTGAGAGGACTTACGGGGTCTTGCCGAGGTGGGGGGACACCGGGGGCGGCACTAAGGCGGCTTCTTCCGCCGATGAGCACCCCCCTCCTCGCCCGCATTCCTCCCGTCAGGGCGACAGCCTGGCGTACTCTTTTCTTTTTTCTCCTCCCAAAGGCGCTTCCATCCGTCCCGTAGGTCTTTCCATGCCTCGTGCAGGGTTTCCGTGCTGCAATCCCAGACCCCCCGTCCACGCCTCCCGTAGGTCTTTCGCCTTCCATGCCTCGTGCAGGGTTTCCGTGCTGCAATCCCAGACCCCCCGTCCACGCCTCCCGTAGGTCTTTCGCCTTCCATGCCTCGTGCAGGGTTTCCGTGCTGCAATCCCAGACCCCCCGTCCACGCCTCCCGAACGTCTTTCGCCTTCCATGCCTCGTGCAGGGTTTCCGTGCTGCAATCCCAGACCCCCCGTCCACGCCTCCCGTAGGTCTTTCGCCTTCCTTGCCTCGTGCAGGGTTTCCGTGCTGCAATCCCAGACCCCCCGTCCACGCCTCCCGTAGGTCTTTCGCCTTCCATGCCTCGTGCAGGGTTTTCGTGCTGCAATCCCAGACCCCCCATCTCGCTCCGAGATTGGGGGTCTGGCTTGTTGCCTTCTTCCGCGCTTCCCGTACGTAGGTCTTTCGCCTTCCATGCCTCCTGCAGGGTTTTCGTGCTGCAATCCCAGACCCCTGTCTCGCTCCGAGATTGATGGTCTGGCTTGTTGCCTTCTTGCACCCGTGGTCTTTCGCCTTCCATGCCGCGTGCAGGGTTTTCGTGCTGCAATCCCAGACCCCCGGTCTCGTTCCGAGATTGGGGGTCTGGCTTGTTGCCTTCTGCCTCGTGCAGGGTTTTCGTGCTGCAATCCCACACCCCGAGATTGGGGGTCTGGCTTGTTTCCTTTTTCCACGCCTCCCGTAGGTCTTTCGCCTTCCATGCCTGGTGCAGGGTTTTCGTGCTGCAATCCCAGACCCCCGTCTCGTTCCGAGATTGGGGGTCTGGCTTGTTGCCTTCTTCCACGCCTCCCGAAGGTCGTTCGCCTTCCATGCCTCGTGCAGGGTTTTCGTGCTGCAATCCCAGACCCCCCCGTCTCGTTCCGAGATTGGGGGTCTGGCTTGTTGCCATCTTCCACGCCTCCCGTAGGTCTTTCGCCTTCCATGTCTCGTGCAGGGTTTTCGTGCTGCAATCCCAGATGTTGCGTCTCGTTCCGAGATTGGGCGTCTGGCTTGTTGCCTTCTTCCACCCCTCCCGAAGGTCTTTCGCTTTCCATGCTGTAATCCCAGACCCCCCATCTCGCTCCGAGATCGGGGGTCTGGCTTGTTGCCATCTTCCACGCCTCCCGTAGGTCTTTCGCCTTCCATGCCTCGTGCAGGGTTTTTCGTGCTGCAATCCCAGACCCTCCGTCTCGCTCCGAGATTGGGGGTCTGGCTTGTTGCCTTCTTCAACGCCTCCCGAAGGTCTTTCGCCTTCCATGCCTCGTGCAGGGTTTTCGTGCTGCAATCCCAGATGTTCCGTCTCGTTCCGAGATTGGGGGTCTGGCTTGTTGCCTTCTTCCACGCCTCCCGTAGGTCTTTCGCCTTCCATGCCTGTGCAGGGTTTTCGTGCTGCAATCCCAGACCCCAGTCTCACTCCGAGATTGGTGGTCTGGCTTGTTGCCTTCTTGCACCCGTGGTCGTTCGCCTTCCATGCCTCGTGCAGGGTTTTCGTGCTGCAATCCCAGACCCCCCGTCTCGCTCCGAGATTGGGGGTCTGGCTTGTTGCCTTCTTCGGTCTTTCGCCTTCCATGCCTCGTGCAGGGTTTTCGTGCTGCAATCCCAGACCCCCCGTTTCGCTCCGAGATTGGGGGTTTGGCTTGTTGGCATCTGCCGCCCCTCCCGTAATTCCCTCGCTTTCCATGCCCGTGCCGGGTTCTTGCGACAATCCCAGACCCCCCGTCTCGCTCCGAGATTGGAGGTCTGGGTATAACTGTCAGGTCCGCACCCCGCGTAGGTCTTTCGCTTTCCGTGCCTCGTCCATGGGTTTCGCCCTGCTATCCCAGACCTTGGGTTGTTGCCATCTTCCGTGCCGTGCCGACCCCCCCTCTCGATCCGAGATTGGAGGTCCAGGTTGCCCTGTCATGTCCGCACCCACAGCAGGTCTTTCGCAATCCATGCCTCGTGAAGGGTTTTGGTCATATGCTGCAATCCCAGACCCCCCGTCTCGCTCCGAGATGGGGGGTCTGGCTTGTTGCGACCTTCCGCCTCTCCCGCGGGTCTTTGGCCTCCCATGCCCGTGCAGGGTTTTTGCGGCAATCCCACACCCCCCCGTCTCGCTCCGAGATTAGGGGTCTGGCTTGCGGCCATCTTCCGCACCTCCGTCGGTCTTTCGCCTACGATGCTTGTGCAGGGTTCTGGCCACAATCCCAGACCCCCGTTTGGGGGTTTGGGTTGTTGTCGATATCTGCACCTAAGCCTCGTGCAGGGCTTTCGCCTGCAATCCCAGACCGTCTCGCTCCGAGATTGGGGGTCTGGCTTGTTGCGATCTTCCGCCTCTCCCGCGGGTCTTTGGCCTCCCATGCCCGTGCAGGGTTTTTGCGGCAATCCCACACCCCCCCGTCTCACTCCGAGATTAGGGGTCTGGCTTGCGGCCATCTTCGGCACCTCCGTCGGTCTTTCGCCTACGATGCTTGTGCAGGGTTCTGGCCACATTCCCAGACCCCCGTCTCCAGATTGGGGGTTTGGGCTGTTGTCGATATCTGCACTCCCACAGATCTTTCGCTTCCAAGCCTCGGGGTTTTCGCCTGCAATCCCAGACCCCCCGTCTCGCTCCGAGATTGGGGGTCTGGCTTGTTGCGATCTTCCGCTTCTCCCGCGGGTCTTTGGCCTCCCATGCCCGTGCAGGGTTTTTGCGGCAATCCCACACCCCCCCGTCTCGCTCCGAGATTAGGGGTCTGGCTTGCGGCCATCTTCCGCACCTCCCACAGGTCTTTCGCTTCCAAGCCTCGTGCAGGGTTTTCGCCTGCAGTCCCAGACCCCCCGTCTCGCTCCGAGATTGGAGGTCTGGCTTGTTGCCGTCTTCCACATTTTTTTGGAGGTCCAGAAAGTTTAACCGGCTTTTGGCGCAGCATCCTATGTTGTTTTTAGGGCTTTCGTAGTTTTTGCCGTCTTGGGTTGATGGAGTCTTGCTTCGCGTGCCTTTCACCCCTTTCTCTGTGGTTGGTTTCTTTTCCTTATATTTCAGACCACCTTCTCGCACCATCTTTGGTTTGTTTCCATGGCGCGAGATCTGTGTGGTTGTCACCTTTCACATGATCCGCAGTTTGTAGGTTTGCTGCTGTTATCCCAATCTCGAGATTGGGGCTCTGGGTCGGTGCCATTTTACGCAAGTTCCGTTGAATCCTCGCCTCCCATTCTCTGTCCTTGGCTATCTTGTACTGCCAGACCCTCCGGCCTCGCATTGTTTGGGGTCTGAGCTTTTGCGATTTTCTGTTCTTCTGTCCACTTCCGTCCTCTTTGTAGGCTTCAGCTCCTTTTCCGATCCCCTACCATTCCTCTTCTTCTGTGAAACCTGGCTGCATTAGATACACGCCCTCTCGAACCCCTCGCGGAGAGCGGCTATGACGATTACGGAGCCGCTCGGAGATGCTTGGGGGGAAGTGGGTTGACGGCCGCAGTAACGTCTGTGGGCCACTCTCCTCCTCCTCCTCCTCCTCCTCCTCCTCATGAAGGGGCTTGCACGGGATTTCTGGGGCTCTCTAGGGTTTGCAAGCTTGTGTAGCCTAGAGCTTCGGGGAAGCACTGCTATGCTTGGTACAGGACTCGGCTTTGTACAGGACCCGGCTCACCCACTCGAGGTTTGTTGCCAAGAGGGATCTTTCCAAAGCTGCAGAAATCTTGGTTCTTCGCCTTAGGAAAGCTTGAGGGGCTTGGGGGAGACGGGTGAGGCAATAATTGCTCAGAAGAAGTATCTGAAATACATGTAACCGTTGTGACGACACAGTCAGACTGCCTGCGGAAAGGGAAGTAGTAGTTATCGTATCATGCTGGAAGTTATGGAAAAGTAATGCAAAATAGTTGCGGCAGCAAGGGCAATGATGTGGGGTAGATACGTTCACCACTGTCGAACGTTCGTGAGTTTAAGATCCAACCCAGCACCCTGAACCGCCATCGCGAAAATCCCTGACTCTCAGCCCACAGCCCGAAACATCCCCAAACCATAGTAGCTTACAACATGTTTAATGAATCCTAAAAGCCCTGAACCTTCAAAAGGCTCGAGAGGTTCACAGGGGGGCAGTGGGGGTTGTCACCCAGGAAGACTCCGCTGGCCAGACTTGGCTGCGGCTGGAGGCGCGCTTAAGGGGCCTTTGTTATGGGGTTTAGGGCTTAAGGTTTAGTCTAGGCGTTATAGGGTTTAAAGTTGCCGTTCAGAGGCCTTCAATAACAGAGGGGCCTACGTGGCTTCAGGTCTTCAAGGCACTGTGACTTCAAGGGTCGAGAGTTCCGCACTTCAAGGTTCGGCATTTGGGCATGGTGGCTTGGCAATGCCATCTGTCAATCATGGAATGCTGTGGCGTGTGCGACTCGCAGCAGGGCGCAATACAGCCGTCAAAGGTTGAGCTTACAACACTCGGCTTGTGGGCCAAGGGACCCTCTGCATTGTTGGCTCGTAGACGTGCGGGGGCGAAGAACGTGATCATGATCAACGGTAGTCTGCGGCCAGCATAAAACCAATATGGTGGATAAGGTTCACTATGCATCAAGACGTCAAGGAGGTTTCAGTTTGTAAAAAGTAATGCTGGTCCATGACCAGTGAATCCCTTTCTTGAAAGGTTAGTCTAATCCCAGTGATGCACTCGCACGCCCGAAACTTTACAAGAAGCGTAAATCTCATAGAAATCGTAGATCCTAGCCCAAGCGACCCCGTAATTTCCAGAGATCCCCATACCGGAGCCGTTCTATGAACCCTTACCAAGTAAGAACCCAAATCCCAACCTTATACGAACCATTGTACGGACCCGAAACCCCAACACCCTCTTAGGAGCCCATATGGGGGTTTCCGAAAACAAGGGGTACCATATTTGGGAGTCCTTATAATAAAGACCCTACTATTTGGGGTACTATATTAGGGTCCCCTATTTTCGGAGCCCATATGGGCCTCTTTCTGCGAGGTCCTCCATTTCATGTCCAGCCTCGCCGCCTGGCCGTTCATCTTCGTTCTTGGGGGTTCGAGGCTTCAGGGCTCTTGGCTTTAGTTTTCAAAGCTGAGCGAGTACGTGGATGCGCATCAGTATTCTATACTTGAAGAGATGGTGCAGTGATTGCGATTGTTCTTTTCTCTCGAGGGATCTTCAGCTTAAGCTTCAGTCAGTTGTCTTCTACAGCTGTTCCTTCGAACTCTTGCCTTAAAACGGGGCTGCGAGTTTCGTGGGCGCTGGCCGGCACCTCAGTCCGTGCTGAAAAAAGGGCGCTTTTTAATGTAGGGTCTTGGGTTGTGAGTGCACGTTAGAGGCCAGTTCAAAGCTTCAGAGCCGAAGCCGCAGTGTAGTCTCCAAAATATATCGGGTGGTCGAGCTTCCTGAGTGTATGCCAAAACATGCAAGCGATTACCCCCAAGGGTCGTCAATGTGAACAGTCTACCAAGTCGAGTTTTCTTTAAGTCACGGACGGAGTTCTTCCTTCCTGTGTTGTGGCTCGTGTTGTATCCCTGCGGCGACTCGTGAACGTTCTCTTTTTGGCACACCTGTCCTGCGTCGAATCACTGCTAGCTGGCTATCTATAGACCCCACACCGCAGCACGAACAGGAGCATTACCCTGGTTCGGTCTTTTTGCATGTGCTTGTGCCGTCTGCTGCGCCATCCTGTGCCCGTCGTGTTTCGTTGAAGCGCTTTCGCGGAAGTAGTCTGTCGCTGCTGCCAAATTTTGTGGGAGAGAGGCGGCATTCTGTGTGGGGATTGCTTGACTTCAGGAACTAGGAATGTCACGGAATGTCGTGTTTCCAACTGCTTCTTCTGAGCCACTCTGAGACGAGGCGAAGAGGCATTTTGTGTGAGCACACGCGATGACAAGAGTATGGCCGGGCCCCATGCCAAGGACGGTGCTGTCCGCTTGACGGTCTATGGCCATCTGAAGAAGGACCTTGCTTTCTTGTCTTCAGCTGGGTGCCGGCAGGCCATTGTGATATGTTGCATCTTCCTTGTTGAACTGGGCGCAAGAGACCGAAGAGTACAAAGAGCCAGCCTACACTAATGACAACTAGAACCTGGGCTTGCGCGTGGAAAGTATGTTTCTGTTGGAACAGAATTCCAAGGGAGAGTTCCGGGCTCTGCTTAGGACTGCGTTTGTTTTAGACAAGAAAACAAACGGAACCCAAAGACAGACGCACAATAATGGTTTCCACCGTGGGCCCAAAAAGGGATATAGGTACTGCATTCATTCGTGCTATGGATACTGATGTTGCAATGGCCAAACCCTGTAGCCCGAAAGTCTAGATCCTGACGGCCAGCGAAACCCCAGCGCAGGAAAACAGAGGTGAAACACATCTTTCAAGCCCTATATAATTGTAAATCCAAAAGCCTTTACCATGTCTGGCCTTCAACGAGCAGCAGGATCGTGGCTACTATGCGCAGGCCCTGGTGTCCGTTCAGAGTGATGTTTGGGGCTCGGGCAGGAGCTCCACTTCGGAGCCCCTATATGACCAAGCAATTCTCGTACTTCTAGTCCATGGTTTTAGAAGCCTTACATGAGATTAGTTGAAAATGAGGCTATGAAATTCAAGTGCCTCCCCGTGAAGTGAGATCAATTCAGTTTCAACCAGTGCCCTACATAACCCCATGAACCTCTAAGCATCTTCCTTGGAAGTCCTACTAAGAAGCACGGTACATGTAACCATTCCTGCATTCTGGCGACACTGTGTGAAGCCTAAACTTCAAAGGCCACTCATGTAGAAATTTCTGTCGTAAAGATCTATTCAGAAGAGAAAACTAAGAGATAAAAATCCGAAGGCATTGACGTTGCCCATTGGCCTCCTCCTGCGCTGGCGCTGCCGGCTGTCGGACGACCACATCAGGGCGAAGGAAGCGGATAAATGGATTCCTGCGTCTTTGTTAAAGCAGACCCCTCTTCGCGGTGGGACGGGAAGGCCTCATTAGGAGTAAAGGTTGCATTGGGCTCTGTAAAGGGCTTAAGGTTTAGGTTGGCTAAAACTGCACAATTCGATGTTGCAGCGGTTCATAAGGGTGTTTAGATGGTTGTTGGCCCTTTCACATGGCTTATCTTTTTCTCAGGTGCCATTTGCTGCTTTATGCTGTTTATCAGAATTTCGAATACGTTCGGGAACCAGGACCCAGTTGTTCGGTCTTCGGTTCTTTCTCTGATTCCCGGTTCTGCCTAAGGGACACTTTGCCCAAACATTTTCAGAATTAGGATCCTGCTAGCTACGCTTCATTTTGGGTGTTGTCAGAGTGATGGGTTTAGGGTTCAGTGACAGTTGGTAGTAGCAATGGCGCAAGAAGTTGTAGTCAGACAAGGTAGTGCAGATGCAGAGCCTGATGGTCGCATGCACAGCTTCGAGTACTCTCAGTCAGGATGCGCGGCTAGTCTCCTTCTTCGGCTACGACGCCATCATCTATTGTGCCTTGGGTGAAACAATTGTCAGCTGCGGGTGGTGGCATGCCTAGCCCGCCTGCCCTGGTACTGGCACCTTGTAGATGAGATCTTTTCTTCTCCTTGCACCCGAAAGTTGCTGCACACAATGCGGCAGCTGCGGTGCAGCTGGAAGACGAAGAGCACTCAGGTGACATTCCCATCGAGAGGGAGCGGGAGCAGGTGCGACGAGGGCAGAGATGAAGTGACGAGCCATTTCGGGGTGTTGGTGCTAGAGTGTTGAGAGTCCTGCATTCTTGGCATTATGAGCGTTGTTGCGATTGCTCTTATTGCTGTACCCATCGTCTCGACTATCACAGTGTCCCGTTCTCTGTAGCATACCACATGCTACGAGAATTGCCGCAAAAATGGCGCCAGCACCTTTGACATACTGAGATAATATTACAACAAGTTTTTGACCCTGAGATTGCAGTCTACATCAGAATAGCTTCAACCTGACTCGCCCAATCCCAGCCGAAACCAATTTCACGAACAAAGAAGAGCAGAATAGAGTAGTATTATATAACATGGTACAATATATAGCATAGTTTAACATCATCTATCCTGAAATGTCAGAAAATCATACAGTACGATGCTATCACGCAAAATATGACCAAGAGGCCTGGCTGGAAAACTGTAAACTTAGGGCATCTGAGGGTGTGAGCGCAGGTGGACCTACTTGAGATCAGGCCAGGGCGGGGCTTTCACAAAGCCTTGTCTAGGGGTGTAGGGGTTTAGGCATTGGGGTTTAGGGGTTAAGAATACACCCTTGCACCGTGGCTGGCGGCCTTTCGACACTGCTCTTTGGTTGTGATAATGCAATAGTTGTATACACACATATGTATATATGGTACCCCCCCCAAAACCCACGCTTCGCTGTCAGGTACTATCGACTTGCCCAACTTCATAGGGGCATGGATGCAGCTGCAATCAGGGTCTTTCAGGGCTTCTCAATTTGAGGAATTCGCGACGCGACGTGTAAGTATCTGATGCTCAAAGGGCCTCGCTGTGACGGATATTTCAGCGGATTTGCGGATTCGCAGATTCGTATATTCGCAGATTCGCGGATTCGCGGATTCGCAGATTCACAGATTCGCAGATTCGCAGATTCGCGGATTCGCAGATTCGCAGATTCGCAGATTCGCGGATTCGCAGATTCCCAGATTCGCAGATTCGCAGATTGCCAAATCGCAAAGGCTATGCAATCTGCGAATCTAAGGCTCTGCAAATCTGCGAATCTGCAAATCTGCGAATCTGCGAATCTGAAAACCTGCGACTTTGTGCCAACCTGTGAAACATCATGACATCCAGATTTCGTTTCTTTCTCAAGCACAGAGGCTGATACATGTGCGCATAAAGGAATCTGGTAGTGTCAAGGCAGGAAAAATTGTTGTTCCGGTGTGTGTAAAGACCCTGTTTGCTTCTTTTCAACATAAATCCAAATAACGGCATCATTCAAAAAGTTAACCTATGTGAAAGCTTTTTGTGGCTTCTTATATCAAGATAAGGAGCTAGCCATTTCAAACGGTTTAAGCACATATTTAGTCTACTTGCTGCCAAGCCGAGTAATTGTTTTTCACCTTTTGCATTCTGACAGTCCTATGCCAGAGGCAAGCAATTGAAAACATATGGGTTGGTGAATGGATGCACTTGTCCCGTGATTGAAACATGACCAGACCATGGTAATGTAGATAATTGGCTAATTCCAGGTGCTTACACAGTGTATGTCACAGCATTGTGTATACACAAAAATGTTGATTTAACCAGTCACCTAATCAACTTACTGGCAATATTTGTTAGTGGTATATCCGTGCTTTCTTAATTTAATTTAGTTTATGATGGAAGTTATGACAGTAAACTGAACGAGTTGTTTGGCCCCTGCTTGAACTAACCCATGTAGCACGCCAGCGATTTTGCGAGTATTATCACGGATACATTGAACACTACGAGCCAGGACGAGGGACTGGTGATATCAGTGGCCAGCAGAGAAATCTACTACGGATTACTAGCACTCATACCACCACTCAGGCTAAACGAAATGCTCTGAGCGTTGGCAACGATGGTAATATCTGACGCCAATACTCGTAATAATGTGGGAGCAGGTAATGCTAGGAGCTAGAGGATTACGGGCAGCCTTGGTTTCGAAATTGTAGTGCTGCGGTGACTCGGTGACTTGCATGCCGCAGGCCACAGACATGTAGAATTTCAGGGCTCGTGGGCTGCAAAACAGGCCGAACCCAAATCCCGCTTAATGTTCTGCACGCCGGGCCCAATACTGATTTCAGTTCTCAGGGGTGACTTCCTACAACGGGAAAGGATTAAGCCGATGTAGGGAAATTAGCTTGTCAATGGTTCTAGAAGACAGCAGGCTTCTCATCCAAATCATGTCATATTGTGCAATGAGTCAGCTAATCAACAGCTAGGTTCGTTCAAGGGGACCTGGAACCTACACCCAGGGCATCGGGACTAGGGCTTAGGGTTCAGGGTTTAGGGTCTAGGGTCTTTAGGGCTTAGGGCTTACGATGGAAATTGAGATTTGTCTGTCTGTGTGCCAATAAGAAACACTCCGTTTCCTTTTCGATGTTTTCTCCGGAGCTTGTTTGGTTATCTGTTCCTGTTTGACTGGCTCATACAAACAATAATTGAGGAAATATGTTTTGCGGAACTGAGTTATTAGAACAGGGCAGACAACAAAGCAATACTTCGCTAGATTATCTTAGATATATTGTGTCCTGCGTAACTCCTAATAGCAATGGTACTAGTACTGTATCAAATTGTCTAAAATTTTATAAGAATATTTACATTTCTTGTTCCAGGGCAGACAACAAAACAATACTTCACTAGATTATCTTGGTTATATTGTGTTTTGCGTAATTCCTAACATTAATTGCAGTAATGCTGTATCAAATTGTTCAAATATTTATATAAATATTTATAATTCTAGTTATTAAGCAGATAACAGCAATACTTCACTAGGTTATCTTGTCTACACCGTATTTTGCACACGACTGGATAGCACATGTAGGAATGCTGGAGTGAATTATCAGGATCTTTTACTAGTTCTTGCGGGTCTTAGGGGGGGGTAGCATATATATATATATGTATATATATGTATATATATATATATATATATATATGTATATATATATGTATATATATATATATATATTATAGTCATATGATGTCTGTATACACATATATATATACATATTGTATGATGTAATATAGTACTACACTACCTCATCGTATTGTAATGTACTCGACATTCCTGCGACCCAGCCCCAAACTAGGATTCAGGTTCTGTGCTGGAGGTCTACTCTGTAGAATTGAAGTCTATATTTATATCTTTATATGTACATATATCTATCTATCTATCTATCTATCTATCTACATATATATACTCGTATATATATATATGCATATATACATATATATATATATAAATGAAGCCGCTTTATCCTAGTCCTAATACCCTGGTTCTATGGTGCGGTGCTTACCCTTTTCCCCGCACTGCTTTTGCAAATCTTCTTTGCCCGATCGTCCCAAACCTTTTCAAAAGCCCTAAAAAAACAATAGCATTAAGCCGAAATCCCATAAAGCCCTTCTAGTAACCCGTATGATGGGAACCAGTATTGTAACTTCTTACCCTAAACCGAGATCATGCAGCCTTTTCTGACATACTCGTAACTAGTGCCGTTTCACCCATCAGACCTCGAACCACCTGCCTCGCCTGGATTCTCCGAGTGTGAGCGCCGAAACAAAGCAAAACTTAGTAACCAATTTATGATTATTTTTATTATTGTTATTATTGTAATTATTGTTGTTATTGTTATTATTGCTATTAGTGTTATTATGGCTATTATTGTTATTTTTTGTTGTTGTTATGATTACTATTGTATATATATATATATAACCCTTCTGAGCCAGGCCGGAGCTCCTCGTAACTCCAGGAGCGTGGACGCCGCCGCCGTTGCGGCTGTGTTCCGCGATGCCCTTGGGACTGGGATTAGGGTTTGAGTTTAGGGTTTAGGGTTTAGGGTTTTCCCTAAACCCTAAACCAGTTTGAGGGTGGTGGGTTTAGGGCATTTTGGGGTTTAGGGGTCAGGGTCTGGGCTGAGGGTTGAGAGGATTTGGGGCTCAGGGTATTTTGCAGGGTTTGACTGCTAGGGTATTGGCTCAGCGTTTGCAGGAGTTGACAGGGGTCTTGCAACTTGCAAGGTTGGCAGATTAGGGTTGGGCGGGTAGGGGGGTTAGTGGTTCAAGAGGGTATAAGCCTTCAAAGAAGCTGGTGTCGGGGCTAGTATAGGGTTTCGAAACCTCCTGCGGGATCCTAGTGCTCGTCCAAGGAGGCCAAAGTGGCGCCTCACCGACTCTTGCCCTCATTACCGGCATGGAAGCTGGCGGGACTTTGAAGATCAGAGTTGTGAAGTGTGCAGCGCGCGCCTAAACCCTCAACCCCAAGACCTTCCACTCCAGACCCTTGACACCGGAAGCCCGAAGTTCTAAATGCTTCAGTTTGCGCCCATGGAATCAGCTGCTCTAATCTCCGAGAATCGAAGCGCCTCCTGCCTCGTCCACCTGCCGCTGCAATGCGAGGCCTGCACCCAGCCCTTGCACACCTTCGAGAAGAGCCTGTGCTGAACCGGAGCTGAAGACGTTTCACGCAGGGTTCAAGATTCAAGACAGGAATTAGTATGAGTATTAATATGAGTATTAGTATAGTTATTAGTATTAATGTGAATATTATTTGTATAGTGATTAGTATAATATGAATATTAGTATAGTGATTAGTATTAGTAATAACTGTTCGCTTGAAGACCCTCAGCCTTGCAAGACTCCGAAGCGCACTGCAACGAAGCAGCCTGAGCCCACAAGCTCAAAAAAGACCCCAACCCCAAGACCGAAGCCCTAAACCTACGTCCCAAACCCTTCGAACCGCATAGACCCCTAAACCAAAAATTGTGAACCAACATTTCATCCTGTTTTGTCAGGATGGAGGCCCTTGCGCCCAACCTGCTGGCCGAGTTTTTAGAATCTTGGAATGGTAAAGAGCAGGGTTTCGAGTTTACTTCAGACAGGGTTTGGTCGATAGGGTTTAGTATGACATTCGCTCCTAGGCCGACTCATGTGACCGGATGATGTTCTGATTCCGTGATCCCAAACCCTATAAACCCCTTGAGGCCTGCAGGAATCCTTGGAAATCAGAGCGACGAGAACCACTGCAATTTCGACTGTTTGTATACATGAGGGCTGTGGTAATGCTGTGAAGAGGGCCGTGCATAATGACTTGATGATGATGCACAAGCATAGCGACTATCCCACTACCCTTCCGATTGCACGTTCCGAAACGGGCCGAGTTTGTCTTGGTCCCTGTAGTTTTTTTTGGATACGGTCGGAAAGGTATTTTCTCTGCCCAGGGTAGGCCCATCGCTCAAAAAGCTTCTCGAGCATGCATAAGCAAGCCCTCCGCCCTGTCCAGGGCCTCATTTGTATCTCCACCAACGTGGACACGGTCTAAGAAATGCCGTCTCTCTCCCGCACACGTGTTTTTCTCCTACCACGCCACGTATCCATGACCAAAAAGGCCTTCCCCTCAGCCCCCCTGCAGCCCGGATCGAGATTCCTCGGGCGTGAGATGTTGAGATAAAAGCCCCCCTTATCCAACGACGGGTTTTGAGAGGTCGCCTCGCCGAGAGCCCGCGAAGAGCAGGGGGCCCGTAGGAAGTCCGTCAAGGGCAGGAAGCCTGCGAAGGTGGGAGCCTTGACGGGGCGAAAGCCCGCGAAGGGCAGGGAGGGGGAAGCCCGCGTTGGGCGGGAAGCCAGTGATCGAACCCTGCATAACGCTGCGAATTCGAAGGGCATTGCATGGAGGAAAAGCAAGCAACAAAACGCATGAGCGCAGAAACACCGGGGCGAAACCTCCGTGTCTGGATGAAGCCTTGTCAGCCCTCGCAGGGCCCCATTACACCCCATTATGGCAAGAGGGCATTCTTTAAGACAGCTGGGGCGGCGGGTCGCGGGCTTGCTGCCCTTCGCAGGCTCTCTCATATCTTTCCAGCGGTCTGCTCCTTGCCCTGAAGTTCTCGTTCTCGAAATCTCTGGTGGATTGCTCCGTTTTCTGTCCTTTTCTAGCGGCTTGCTGTTTTCAAACTCTATAGTTTCTGTCGAAATTCCTCGAAAGTCTCTAGTCTGTTTCGAGCGGTTTGCCGGTTGTTATCATAACAGTCTACTCGTTTTCGGGCGGTTTGCTCCTTTTGCTCAAGTTCTCCAATATCTGAGAAGCGGTTGCTCCCTTTTCTCAAAGTCTCTACTCCTTTTCGATTGGTTGGCTCTTTGTGTCCAAATTCTCTAGTGCGTTTTGGGCGGCATGCTCCTTTTGCTCAAATGCCCCGGTCTCTTTCCAGCGGTTAGCTGCTTGCGTTCTCCAATTTTCTAGTCCCAGTTGAGCGGTTTGCCTCTTGCTCTCCAAGTCTCTCGTCTCTTTGGGCGGTTTGCTCCTGCTTCTCAACTTGCCTAGTCCGTTTCGAGCGTTCCCAAATTCCTTGACCCTTTCGAGCCGTTTGCTCCTTCTTCTCAAATGTTTAGTCTCTTCCGGGTGGCTTGCTGCTTGTTCTCAAAGACCTTAGTCTCTTGCAAGCGGTGTGCACATTGTTCTCAGGGGTTTGCTCCTAATGTTCACAAGGTTTCTAGTCCTTTTCGAGCGGTTTGTCCGTTCTTCCCAAATTTCTAATCTCCTTCGTTTGATTTGCTCTTTGTTCTGAAACTCCCTCGTTTGTTTGGAGCGGTTAGCCCTTTTCTCGAGTTCTCTAATCTTTTCGAGCGGTTTGCTACGTCTTCATTTTTTTCTAGTCTTGTTCGAGCGGTTTGCTCCTTGCTCTTATTTCTGTGGTCTCTTTAGAGCGGTTCGCTCCTTGTTCTCAAGTTCTCAAGTCTCTTTCGAGCGGCTTGTTCCTTGTTTGCCAACTGTTTAGTCCCTTTCGAATGGTTTGCTTCTTGTTCTCAATTTATCCAGTCTGTTTCGCTTGGTTTGCTCTTTGTTGTCAAACTCGCAAGTCCTTTTCGAGCGGCATGGGTTTGGAGCAGTTTCGTCCTTTTCGATCTGCTCCGGTGTTCTCAAATCCTCGAGTGTCTTTGGAGCGGTTTGCGCCTTGTTTCAAAGTCTCTAATTTCTCTGGACGGGTTCGCTCCTGGTGTTCTCAAGTTTTCTACTCCGTTTCGAGCAGTTTGCGTCTTGTTCACAAGTTCCCTATCTTTCGAGCGGGCTGCTCCTTGTTCTGGAATGCTCTAGTCTATTTCGAGCGGTTTGTTTTCTGTTCTCAAATTGATTATCCTGTCAGCGGCTTGCTCCTTGTTGTCAAACTCTCTAGTCTCTTTTCGAGCGGTTTGCCCCGGGTTCTCAAATTCTCTGGTCTCTTTCGAGCGGTTTGCTCCTTGTTCTCAAATTCTCTAGTCTCTTTCGAGCGGCTTGCTCCTTGTTCTCAACTTCTCTAGTCTCGTTCGAGCGCTTGGCTTCTTGTTCTCAAATTGTCTAGTCTCTTTCCATTGGTTTGCTCCTTCTTCCAAAATTCTCTAGTCTCTTTCGAGCGGTTTGCTCCTTGTTCTCAACTTCTCTAGTCTCTTTCGAGCGGTTTGGTCCTTGTTCTCAAAACTCTCTAGCTTCTTTCGAGCGGTTTGCTCCTTGTTCTCCAATTCTCTGGTCCCTTTCGAGCGGTTTGCCCCGGGTTCTCAAATTCTCTGGTCTCTTTCGAGCGGTTTGCTCCTTGTTCTCAAATTCTCTAGTCTCTTTCGAGCGGCTTGCTCCTTGTTCTCAACTTCTCTAGTCTCGTTCGAGCGCTTGGCTTCTTGTTCTCAAATTGTCTAGTCTCTTTCCATTGGTTTGCTCCTTCTTCCAAAATTCTCTAGTCTCTTTCGAGCGGTTTGCTCCTTGTTCTCAACTTCTCTAGTCTCTTTCGAGCGGTTTGCTCCTTGTTTTCAAATTATCTCGTCTCTTTCGAGCGGTTTGCTCCTTGTTTTCAGCTTCTCTAGTCTCTTTCGAGCGGTTTGCCCCTTGTTCTCAACTTCTTTAGTCTCTTTCGAGCGGTTTGCCACTGGTTCTCAAGTTCTCTAGTTCTTTTCGAGCGGTTTGCTGCTTGTTCTCAACTTCTCTAGTCGCTTTCGAGCGGTTTGCTCCTTGTTCTCAACTTCTCTAGTCTCTTTCGATCGATTTTCTCCTTGTTCTCAACTTCTCTAGTCGCTTTCGATCGGCTTGCTCCTTGTTCTCAAATTCTCTAGTCGCTTCCGAGCGGTTTGCTCCATGTTCCCAATTTCTCTGGTCTCCTTCGAGCGGCTTGCTCCTTGTTCTCAACTTCTCTAGTCTCGTTCGAGCGCTTGGCTTCTTGTTCTCAAATTGTCTAGTCTCTTTCCATTGGTTTGCTCCTTCTTCCAAAATTCTCTAGTCTCTTTCGAGCGGTTTGCTCCTTGTTCTCAAGTTCTCGAATGTCCTTCGAGCGGTTTGCTCCATGTTCTCAAATTCTCTGGTCTCTTTCGTCCTCGTTCTCAAATTTTCTAGTCTCTGTCGAGCGGTTTGCTCCTTGTTTTCAACTTCTGTAGTTTCTTTCGAGCGTTTTGCTCCTTGTTCTCAACTTCTCTAGTCTCTTTCGAGCGGTTTGCTCCTTGTTCTCAAGTTCTCTAGTTCTTTTCGAGCGGTTTGCTGCTTGTTCTCAACTTCTCTAGTCGCTTTCGAGCGGTTTGCTCCTTGTTCTCAACTTCTCTAGTCTCTTTCGATCGATTTGCTCCTTGTTCTCAACTTCTCTAGTCGCTTTCGATCGGTTCGTTCCTTGTTCTCAACTGCTCTAGTCTCTCGCGAACGGTTTGCTCCTTGTTCTCAACTGCTCTCGTCTCTTTCGAGCGGTTTGCTCCTTGTTCTCAGCTTCTCTCGTCTCTTTCTAGCGGTTTGCTCCTCTCAAATTCTCTAGTCTCTTTCGAGCGGTTTGCTCCTTGTTCTCAACTTCTCTAGTCTCTTTCGAGTTCGTTGCTCCTTGTTCTCAAATTCTCTAGTTTCTTTCGAGCGGTTCATTGATGAGCCACAGTGTCTTCATTCATGAATCTGAGAACTTCCTTTGGGTTCGAGCACTAGACCTAAAAACCCTGAGGATCTGAACAGGGAGCGAAAACAGACCCCAAGCGAGAAAGTGGGCATGAGGAATCTGTTCGGGGTGCGAAAAAGCCCGATCCTTCGAAACCGTATCACAGCGATGAACGCCTGTTACGAGAGAGCCTACAGGAACAAAAATCGCAACAGCAAAAGCGACGGACAACATCTATGGCCCAGCCTTCATGAAACTTCAGGGGGGGTTTGCGTTTCCATTTGAAAGCCTGAACCCGAACGTGGAGGGGCCTTTTGGTCGCGTAATATGGGGGTCGGAATTGGTTGGTAGTACTGGTTCTTATAGCCAGACAAAGGGAGCCCAGCCTCCGGAATTCGGGGTCCAAGCCTTAGGTTCTGCAGAGCTGCTTGTTTGGAATGAGGAGTATTTTTCGTTAAAGGGTTTTATGTGCTCTGCGGTAAGATACTTTCAGATGTTCCAGTGGAGGCAGCCGAAGAGAGTTATCTAGGAATCTATGCCTTTCCCTTTTCATGGCCCAGGACTACCACTTCCTGCTAGGCATCGAGCACATCACTGTGTTTGATGCCGATGGTTCAGTCGAAGAGCCGTTTGTCGTTCGATTGGGGTTTAGTGCTTTGGGATGTAGCAGCACCAAGGCCTTTTCCCGTCGTTACCCAAACATATACACTGTCATGGTAGTGTCTCACAAGGAGGAGTATTTCTGATTATGACTATCATATGTTCGTTGGTAATTACAAATAACCCTTGCAAGTAACCCCTCGACCCTCCCGCCAATCAACACCAAGATTAGTTCGAGCATGCGGAATAAAGGGCTTCCTTCGAAGCTACCCCCACCCTGCAATAGTGACTATAAGGATTATATTAGGGCCCTATATATATATGTGTGTGTAGAAACCATAATATTATATTCCTATTATACCACTATGACAGGGTGGGGGGCCCCTTCTAAGGGCTACCGGGGCTTCCAAGCTCGAGCTTCTTTGTTTCAGGGCCGAGGATCCTGGCGCCAGAAACGTCTGAAGTTGGGGGTTTGGGGTTTAGGGTGTAGGGTTTAGGGTTTAAGGGTTTAGGGTGGGGTTATGAGGGGTTTGGGGTTTGAGGCTTTAGGGCTTGGGGTTTGGAGTTTAAAGGTTTGGGTTTTTAGTTTAGGGTTTAGGGTTATGTGGGGTTTGGGGTTTGAGGCTTCGGGCTTGGGGTTTGGAGTTTAAAGGTTTGGGGTTTTTAGTTTAAGGTTCAGGTTCTGAGGGTTGGTCGAGCACCCCCGAGGGCCCTCTGCCAGTCAGATCGCTGCATTTTCGGCCCGCAAAGGCTGTGTGCAGGAAATGCAAAAAGAAATATCTTCGTTGAAAAGTGAAATTACAAAGTTAAAGAAGAAAATGAAAAATGGTAGTGATTAAAAATGCTCTAGCCTAAAATAATATATAACGGTCAATATTGACGGACAAATAGAAAAGAAACTCAATGAACAACTAGAGAAGATAAAAGGAGACTTAATTATCTTTAATACTATCTAAGGTTTAACAGATAAAATACAAAAGTTGGAAGATGAAATTGAACAGTTGAAAAACAAAAACAAAGGATGTTGCGGCATTTCTTCTAAATGCTTACCGTTTAACTGTTGTAGTTTCTCATTGTTCTGATAATTAAGAATATTATTTTGATATTGTTAAGCATCTTCATCAGTCCTTAAGACCTTCTCAAATCTGATGTAGAACATGTTATTTGCATCTTGTGCATTCGTGTTTATGTACAAGAAGCTACATGGAGCATCGTTTATCGCCAGCTGGTACATTTCCTATAACTGTTGCTTCTTTACCAGTGCACTGTTTTCTTCAAGGAATGCGTTGACTTCGTTCATGTTTCTGAGTCTGAAAACAAGCAGTGCAGACGCATTGAGCCTAATTGTTGGAGCCAGCACGTTGTACTTCTGAGTGGACAGTTTCACTGAAATTGCATTATGTCTACCTCTCGTGAACAGTCCGTGCAAGATACTTGAGTACCTTACAATTTTTGGGTCGTCGCAAATTCATCTATGACTATTAGAATACTAAATAAATCTTTGTCTCTATTCTTCTTCTGGAATTCTATTACCTTGTGTGTTGGGTGTCTATTTTTTTTTGTAAGGCAGTGGCGTCGTAATGACTGAAATATATCTGTTCCTTTTCGGAGTCCACTTTCATTACATCCTTTATGTACTTCTTCACTGCGTTCCACGTGTCGTCCACGTCCACACTAGGACTGAATATGTATATTCTTTCAAAACTATTGCGGTAAATCTTCAGTGTTAAATTCTGTATTGAATTTATTAAAACTGTTTTACCGCCTGTACTTGAGGCCACCGCCAACATTCGCGCTGGCAAGGATGGCATCATGTCATACTTACTGTTTTTGAACTGATACTTGGGTATATCAATTGGTTCTACCGTCGGAACATTATCACTCATTATTAATATTAGTTAGAAACTTATATGTTATAATATATGAACCACGGTGATTGCATTACTGTTATTGGCAATCTTGAAGAAATAGAACAGATAATAATAACAACGCCTAGATATCGTAGGTGTTGTTATTCTGTGTTGGAGATATGTAGAGGGATTTTTCAGTATTTGAATTATTCGAAGAAAAGCTAATATACATCATTATATGAGCGATTCAAACATAGATAATAACAAAAATGGAACTGATGGCGGTGTAAGTGTAAATAAAGATGGTATAAACTGTTTATTTTGTAGATGTAAGAGAAACACATACCATAAAGAAACTAAAGCAACAACAGAAAATGATAAGGTTGTTGCTAATGTTGTAGAAGACAGGTCCAGTTTTCGTACAGGTAAGGGTAGAAATGTATCACCAGACGACGGAATATTTAAACCAGATACAGCACCACAAACTGGAGGCGTTGAACTTTGTAGCACAGGATGGAGTCAAAATCGGATTACCGCTGAAGAGTGCGATGAGAAGATAGAAGAATTAAAGAGAAGAAGTAGAAGATGGAAAAAAAGATGTTGAACAATTGAAATCTCATAACCTTCATTTTCTGGACTAATATTTAAGAAGGTATTATCTTTTGTATGTTGACAGCTGTACAGTCGCATAGCCATGCGAGGCTCGTTCCTCGCATCTTTGGAGTTTCCCGGAAAACGAAACAGGATGAAACACACCGAATGTTGCGCCCATTGCTCCTAAATTGTGTGAGACCCAGACATCGTAGGTGAGCAAGTGAAACGGGAGTAACTGGAACACTTACATAATTGGTGCTACATAAGATAGCGCCGAGAATTAGTTTTATAATAAAACTTGTATTATAAAAGTTTTGCGAAAAAAAGTTTAATCTTTATATTAATATGTGGGTGATAAGCCTGAGTTCAAGCAAGATGTCATACTGAGACTAGAGAGGATAGAGAAATTGTTAAATGAAAGGTCTACAAGAAGCTTTAACAGAACGCCAGTTGATGCAACGTATGAAAACAAAAAGAATGCATACTTGACTAAGCTGAATAACAAGGACAGTTTTTCAACCAAAACCTACGACCCTTGATTATTACAATATAAAAGTATAACCAAGAGACGAAAGCCTTCTCATAATATTATCAGCTAATAATAATAATGATTGCATTAGATGATAATATTGTTGTTGAGTTTCCTACGTGCAGTGATTGTAAAACACAGTATGTGCAATGTATCATATGTAAGCAAATGAAATACACAGATGAGTTTGTAAGTAAACATTCCAAAAGGATATACAACAAATTTTGTAGGGCTTGCTTGGACCATAATAAAAACCTAGGCTTAAAGGGAAGGAATGAATGAACGCAGGTAGTTTTCTTATGGAAGGTTTCTGAAGCAAAGGCACTTAAACAAATAACAACTTAATATATTATAGTCGAAATGAGTGACAATGAGAGTGTTGCAACAACAGGTTATAATCTTGATAAAGAAATTGAAAACGGAATAAAACAATAAAAGATTACATTAAAAAAATGCCAGAATTGCAAACTGATTTATCATCAAAGAAATTGAAAGCGGAATAAAAATAATAGAAGATGACATTAAAAAAATGCAAGAATTGTAAGCTGATACATTATCAGTTGAACAACAGTTTTAATCTATTTTCCGAGGGTGTGAATGAGAATATTTTGCCATATACCGGATTTTCTCACTATGTTGATAGACTGAAATATTTAGAACATCATTCGCTATTCATATGTATGGCCTAGTCGGAAACAATGATTATCCTAAGCATTGAGATATAATATTAAGTGTATTGAGAGGGTATGATACTAACTATTGTATTAAAGATATTTTCTCTAATGCTTATGAGGATGTGCCGGAAGAGTATGATCATGATTTTTATGCTAAGTACACTGAATTATATGATAAACAAGTACACGATAAATTTGAAGACGTGTATGGCCATTACTTTACTGAGGACAAGGTGAAAGAGTTCAGAAAACTATTTGTTGATACATATTACAATAAAAATAGATATGAACATGATGATACAGAACTTGAAGATTTCTTGTATCATTATTTAAGAATATTCTCCATGAGAATAACGTATTTGAATAAAAGACATGTCTTCTATGAGTTAACGGAATGGTTGATGTTGCTTTTTCTTGACCAATAATATTTTTGTAACCAAAAGTAGATTATTATTGAAAGTATTAAGACAGAGTTCTTAAGAAAAGCATTTAACGAACTAACATCTTAATATATTACAGTGGAAATGGATTACTACAAATCTAAAAACGTATAAGACCCAATTGAAGTACATCAAAAAGATATACCAAATGAAAATTAATGAAACTGAGTATTTGAATAACAGTAATGAGTCAATAAAGTTATTGAAAAATGCGAAAGTATATTTGATGACGAAGATGTTTGTAATGTTAAGAATAACATTTCTTCTTTGGAGGGTAAAATTCAAGAAGATAAACAGTTAATTAACACATACTCAGAACTGATTGAGCATATTAAAATACTATGTCAGAATGGAGGAAACAAGGACACTAAATGTCTGGATACAAAACCAAAACATTTTGTTAAATGGATTAATATAAGTGTTCAAGAAATGGAAGAAGATTACGGCAAATACTTAAACCAATAAATGTTCAACCAACAATCGAATAATAATACAATTAGAGTGTTATTGAATGTACCACCCCAACACCCCATACTATACCCCATAAAATGGATAAACCTAACCTTGCCCGTTTAGGATGTTACATCACCTGATAAATAGGATGAGATAGAGTATTTTATGGATAATGAGCTACTAGTTGTGTATTTTATGGTATATATGTTCACGGTGATGTAATACCCCAAACTGGGCGACTCCATTACCTTGTCCATTTTGTGTAATTGCACCTCATTTTCTATAAGGTAAAGTGTTTGAGGATGTAATGGCTATGATTTGGGCCGTGGTGGTGCAACTACCAAAACTGGGCAAGGCCTCCCCTAACTAACTCCTTCTACCATAATTGTAATAAGGAGCCCCCCAAAAAACCCTATTCTAATTAATTAAGCAAGGTCATTGAGACGTTACGAAGCAAAGAACCCGGGTCGCGGACAGGCTCGCATCAGGGTCATTTGCTTGCCTTTAGAGGTTGAGGAACGTCAAAGTGACGAAGTCATGCGCTTTAGACTGCTCAAACCACAGCTCGTCCACTTTTCTGTGTATGCTTAACCCATGTCAATGTGAGATGAGGTTTGTGTTGCCAACGTAACTCTCAAAGTCTTTTGGCTTAATTGCTTCAGCTAGCTTATCACAACAGCGGCATGTCTGGTGACGTCGTGGCCATATATGTAGGTTGGCATAGCTTTACTCGAGATTCTGTCAGCTGGCCAGTCAATGTGGCCATGTGCTTGTGGATGATGGATCACCTGCCCCATTTCATTGCACTTTTCCGGAGTGCGCTCGCAGAAGTCTGCTGTGCAATTTAGAGATTGAGGGTTATCCTTTAGTCGGTCTGTTTACACTTGCTTACGAGAACGGGCGGGGCACCAGCATGTTGTGGGAAGGGCGGACACAGGCATCTCCGAATCTTAACGGTAGGCATTTGCAGTGTACTATAGGGGCCTTAATAATTACCTATGCTATCTTCGAGGTTCCTTATTATACTTTTGGTATATTACCCCAAAGCCCTATTACATTTATTTAGGCCGCAATATTAGAGTCCGAAACCCTCCGGAGATCGACTACGTGAGCCACTGGCCCCTTCGTTTCGGCGCGGCGCACGCGCCTCGAAGCTTGGCGATGACGGAGCTTCCGGAACGTCGGAGTTTTTTTTTGGATTGAGCAGGCGTTTATGGTGCAGGGTGGGCTTGTTGTTATTTCCTATTATGACAAAAATCTTATCTGTGAAGGGTTATCATTGCTGCGACTGTGGTGGCGAGATGTGGCGGGTGTTCTTACGATCAAAAGCACTGCCGCTTCCGTGCAGTCAGTGGCCACAACACGAAAGCCCTGTCTTCCACCCAAGGTCAATGCATGAGGTAGGAACCACACTGCCGCAAACTCCTTCACGTGCTGGCAGCAAGTGGAGAGTTGCGGAAATGCAGATCCCTGTCTCGGCCCCAAGGAAGAACTTGTCAATCACTGTCTCAATAATGACCGCAAGCGGTGCAAGACTCTGGAGAACACCCACCCCCTCATGTGTTTATGCTTGTGTGTGTTTGTCTATCTTTCCAGCTTAGGTGGATCGGAGAACTGGCGTCCCCTGCTCTTCGAAGTCGAAGCAGAGACACCTGAATGGAATCGAGTTCGGGCTGAGCAATGCGTCGGTACATGGCTGCAGGACCACCGACCTGGATGAACCTGTTTTTTCCGCTAAAGGGAAGTCAAGAAAGTTGGATTTTGGTTTCAGGGTAGGATACCTTGTAATTTACCATAAAGGGTTTAGGATAATCATATTCCAACTTTCTGGCTTTTACTTTAAGTGTCCTCTACGGCTTCTGAGCACGTGGAGCTTCCATGACATACCCCTAAGAACCTAAGGTCTGAGCCCGTTCAGAAGTGGTTGAGGACAGGATTCATGCTTTGCAGTAGAAGCCAGAAAGTTGGAATATGATTATCCTAACCCTTCTATGGTAAATTAGAGGGTATCCTACCATGAAACCATATTCCAACTATTTCTGGAGTTCCCTTTAGGACTTTAGGAGTCCTTTTGTAAACCAGGGGTTGAAGAAGCCAAAACTCCTCAGCCCCAGAACCCTCAATCGAAAAATCGACACCCGCTGGACCTTCATACGGCTATGACAAGATGATGAGGTCAGGAACAGGAACCACAGCTGCCACCAGCAGTTTGTGAACATGGCAATATATAAACCATGACAGTAACGAGACGCGTAGGAGAAATACTAGGAAGAATATATAGTAGTCACAAACATGGCAACAAGTGCACCAGTCATGATTCTTGTAGCACCCAGTATAGTAGTTATGATGCCTGTCATAATGCTAGCCAAGGAATCACTGCTTGTGGGGCTGCTCGTCTTCACGAGATTATGCTCGCAGTGCTCGGGGTCCGTCAGCCCGACAGACAGACGCGGAAAGGCTTAATGATTAGCCGAGGGTTTGGAGAAGGGTGGAGGGTATAGGGTTTACCCTGTAGGATATATGGTTAAGCGTACAGGCAAAAGCGTATAGGATACAGGGTTTTAGGGTATAGGGTTTAGGGTATGGGATACTGGTTCAGGGTACAGGGTTTAGGATTCGCCAGCGCAGTTGGGATGGAGCCCCAGTCATTGATTCCGCAAGCGATGCGTTTTCTACGAATAGGGGGCTCACTTTGACACCGTAAGAAGTTTGTACCGCTTACTTTGAACGTTAACTTACTAAACGCGAAGAGTGCTGCTCAATTTGGCTTTCTGCTACTCTTAAATCACAGAGCAAGCCAGTGTGTTCGTGCATATGAGCTTTGAATACAGAAGAATGAGCATGTACCAAGACTGTTTCTGCGCTATAAAGATACTCTACATGTAGACCAAAACCAACTTAGACTTGACGTAAACCTTGTATATGCCTAACAGGGCTTAGCACAAACACTTCCTTAGAAAACCCGCATAGAATTCCTGTTCCAAGTATTAGAGCCCTGTAGTAGGCGTTTACCCTAAACCCCTGAACCTCTACAGCAAGCTTAAACCCTATATAAACCCCTAAACCCTAAACCTCTAAAGTAGGCATTTGCCCGTAGGCTATCGAGGGCGAGCAGACTGGGCCGTCGTGCTGCATTCACCAGATGAGTCTCGCTTTGCAGCTTAGGGTTTAGGGCTTGGCGTTTAGGGGGCCATATTATTGTGGAGATGAGGCAGTGTGAGGATTTGGGGGTTTAGAATTGTGGAGGTGTGGAGGTGGTCCTATTTCTCCAGGTCTGAGTACAGTAAGTGATTTGCAGCCCTTTGTCGTTTATACAACCCTGCCGGGACTAAAAGGTTAAGCTTTCGTCGGCCAGGATACTCAGCCCCGAAGCGGTGGAGATGCGGCAGGAGTTTGATAGTCTACCGCATTATCAGGTAGCAGAAGGTAATATATGAAAGCATGAGTTAGTATGAGTTAAGGATAATCCAACCAGTCTGGGATTCAAGCTCAGGAGAGCTGTAAGCACAGGATGCGTTCCCTCCAGGTTGATCGCGCTTTGCACTGAATGAGTCGAGAGTTTGGCATGTCTTGTTTAATTGTGCACAGGGCCCTTGGGCACGCAGTGGAGACGAGTTGCTATGGCTGGTGCTGGAGAGGGCTAGGAAACCAGGAATCTCAATCTGCGTGATGTATGCTGTACGGGGTTCGAGAGAAGGGTTCCCGACATTTCCCGACATGGAGACCATTCAATCGGTTCCTGTCTGTAAGGACGCCCAGACGACGCCAAATGTCTTGAAAGCCCATAGCACTTGGTGCGTCCGAAACCTTGGCATCCCATGCGGCACTGCTTCCAGGAATTCCTGCATGTCGTCCATGACCCGGGCGAAGGGTCCTTGTCACGGTTTCTGGCACGACTGGAGGACCTTCTGAGAGACAGATTTCGGTGGCTTCTCGTGCATGATCAATAACTCTTCGATTGCCTGCAGATGAGGGTATACTGTACTATATTTTGCTATATCATACTATACTATAGAAGTATTAATCAAAAGCCATACAGGGCCCAGGCTGGAGTCTGTCGTTTGTGTCGGGATGCAGCCCGTCCCGAGCACTTTTGAATGCTTTCCGAAGCCCCGCCAGGGCGAGAAGGAACTGTGAACTAGCCGTGCTCCCTCGAGTTGTGTGCTTCCTGAACAACTGCGTGCTCGCTCGCTTGTGGAGCTCGATCTCATATGCGCAGCAGAGATGCGCAGGCGCACACGCAAGCAATCGATGTTGGAAGTGCGATCCCCGAGCGAGCAGCATCATCGGCGCCTTGTTTTAGGTCTCAGATTCGTCGCAGAGGTGTCCAGGTCTTGGGACTGGATGCAAGAAGGATCAAGTGCGTGCTCGCTCCACGACCGCTCCCAAACAAATTGCATGCTCCATCACTTGTGCAGGACGCGCACATGCAAACAGGCAACGGGCACGGGAAAACGAGCGCTGCACTCAAATATTGACAGAGCACACTTCTCCAGCAAGCATGGTTAGTTCAAGCCTTGATTGTTGTACAAGTCACGGCAGCGACCTAAACCCCATAAACCCTAAATCCCAGAGCCGAATTTTGCGAGGAGCACCGCAACACAGTGTCCCATGTGGAAGTTCGGCAGGCCTCCAATGCCCGGGTTTAGGATGTAGCTTTAGGTTTTGGGATGTGTTCTAGGTTACCGTAGGGCCGCAACCAGCAAACCACAACGCCGTACACACCACGAGGCAATAGTTGAAGCGTGAGTAGTGCCTTATATGGGATGTAGTGGGCTGTCCTAAACGGTTGCATCGCCAAGAGATGCTGACGGAACAATGGTGGACCCCCAGCCTGATAGAAAAACAAAAAGCGAATAATGATAAAAATAGTCAGAAAAACAGTAATCATAGTAATAGTAGTAATAGTTGCAGTAGTGGTTCCCATGTCTCTGGGCTGGTTGACAACAAAGCTCGTGATGCCTCAGCATGCTCCCATCTGCCCCCAGGCCCAAGCAGCTTATTCCAATTACTCCGGCCTCTATTTTTTTTGTAACTCCATTCGTTTCCATCATGAGCAGTCTGAGGCTTTTGGTTGCTTTTTCTTGTCTCTACAGATCTTCAATCACACCACCAGGGCCTCCGGAAAGAGCTCCTTCGAAAGACGATCTCCCAAGCCGTGGGAATGCGACATCGCTCAACCGCCCTAAACAGCTAAGCAACGCAATAGTAATGGGAATACTGAGACTTAGATATCAGGAGTAATAACAGTAGTGGCAGGAGTGTGGATACTTACAATCATATTCGCCATGGTAATAGTACTACTCATGAGCCCAAACCCTAAACCCGAAGCTACTGCAGATCTTGGAAGCAGTGAGCAGGAATAATGATACTTAGAATCATAATCGCCATAGTGATAGTAGTACTACTCATGAGCCCACCACAAAGCTACTGCAGATCTCGGAAGGTGCTCTTCGGAGGAGCGCCCCAGGAGGAGCCCTGGACTTCCGTGGATTCTCCCCGTAGGCTTTAGGCCTCGGTAACTCTGGGATGTCGGATTTTGAGCATTTAAAGGGATCTATAAGGGATACTAGAATACAAAAATATGAGGATAAGGGTACAAAAATATGAGGCTCTAGCTTTCAGGGGTCTTGAGGGATCTGCAGAGCTTTAAGAGAGAAGAAGAGCAGGTCAAAGTCGGCTGTAGAGAACCTCGGACAACCTCTGGAAGCCTGAGCCGTATACAATCTCCGTAACACCCGTCAAGGAGCAATTGGGGGGGGCCCTAAAGCTTAGGACGCCACCTCCATGCCGGGCCGTTTTCTGCAGCTGGGCCACACGTGAGCGGGTCTTCATTGCTTTGCGGGTTGGCTGACGTCAGGGACTTGAAGCCGTACCAACTGGATCTGATATGTATATATATATATATGTCTACGTATAAGTATATATATATATATATATACATAGAGAGAGAGAGAGAGAGAGAGAGTTATATGTGCTTGGACTGGGTTTAAGTTAAGCACACGGGAAGGCCTGATCTGATTGCTGCCAAAGGCGTGTGAATCTGTGCGATGTCCGAACCGGCGAAATCTTGCTTGAAGGATTCAGGCTGTGGAACGCTACAAAACTCTCTCTTTCTTACGACGCTCGTCTTACTTGGCTTAACCCACCTACAGCTGCTGCATGAAAGACTCCACTGCCGAGGTACCGAGAGGAGGGGAGCGGCGCTGCCCAAACAGTCGCTCTTCCGCTCCAGCTGCGCGGGGTTGGGTTTGTAGCACTTCCGGCAGCCACGGATCACGGAGGGAGAACCCGCAAACTAGGAGGTAATCGGTGCAACGAGGTTGGAGGCACGGCTGCTGAGCGAGACGATGTACGATGCTTCATAAGCTGGCTTGTGAAGTGTCTAGACTTGACTTGTTATGAAGGCCCCCTTAATGTTGCAGGGTGATGTCCGCCAGGGCAGGAGCAGAGCCCAGTGCAATGTGAGAGGCTTAATACAGGGGCTTCAGTAATTGCCAACACTGTTTTGGGCTTCTTACAATTTTGGTATAATGCACGAGGGATGTATAAAGCAGTCAAAGACATGTATCAAGTTTGAACTAGCTTTGAATGCGAGGCTTCTCACACCATCATCGCCAATGTGGAGAACTTTGCGCAAGCAGGCGTCCACACCGCGAGGCAGAGCCACAACAGTCAGGTTGCGACGAAAGTTGAAGTCGTCCGGAGGTGCGTCCGCTACTCCTCCAGCACCCACCCGAAAACTCTGACTGCGGTGTCTGCGAACTGATGCATCACGAGGGCATCTTGCCACTTTTTTTGAAGTCGTCTACTGAGCTGCATGCAGCGGTCATAAACTGACATCATTGTTTGTGTAAGGTGTCCCCAAGTCCTATCTGCATCCTATGAGACCCCCAGCCCCCAGCCCCTAAACTTAGGCCCTAATCCTCACGTCTCGGAAGATGCAGAGGAAAGCAAAACCTGAATAGGACAACCAGGCCTCCCTTCCAGCTCAAGTTGTGTCATGAGAGCCATGGAGCCCGTCTTCTAAGGGATCACTAGGGATCCCAGAAGAAACACCCCGAAACAAGCCCTGGAAACCCCAAACCACAAAGGGATAAGACCAAGAGTTCCGATTCCTGTCAAGTAAGGAGACGCTGACTGCAAAAGTTCATGTGGAAACCTTGCAAAACCGGTATGTTGCAAAATGCCCCTCTTCACCTTTGAGTATAACCGTGAAGCAACCCAAAGTTATGAGTCATACACACATATCGCATATCCGAAAACAACCCAACAGACTCCCTCAGAGAACCAAAGCCGACCCTGAAAGTTTAAGAACACATACCTTAAACTCTGAAAGCCCTAGAAGCCCTGTGAACCCTCCACCCTTTGCCTGCCCTGTGCGAGTGTGAGCGTCGAAACCCTGAACACCCTACAAACCCTACGGAGAAAACACAACAAACCCTACAGACTCGGTGTTTGCTGGGAGGCCCCGGCCGCCTTTGCCCGGAGAGGCCCCGCTCCGCATCGTGGCCGCCGACCCGCGGCCCGGCGGTGTAAAAGAAGCACAGAGGTTGTGTTTGGGGTTTTGGGGTTTGGGGTTGGTGGCTTTAGGCAAAGAACACGAGGTTTGGTTTGGAGCTTTCGAGAAAGGAGTTATGGCCTGGGAGATTAGGGGTTTAGGGTCTGGGGCTTTTGGGAGAAGCGTTTTTTTGAGGGTCGTTTGCTGTCCGGAGGAGACAGGCCTGTGTACACTCAGGATCATAAAAATTTTCCGGGCACTGCGACCGGCTAGCTCACGCTGATGGCAGAGCCCATGTGTTTGCGGAGATTGTTCCTGAGGTATCCCTGAGCAAGCGTAGTGGAATGCACTCCAGCCTCATCTGTAACTACCCTTGTGGGATGACAATCCTATGGACTATGTGGTGCTATGGCTCCTGGACGTACAATTTAAAAACTGGTAGAAGAGTCTAGTTCTGCCGAGGTAGACTGATAGTTCGTGGGGCTCCCAGTTGACACCATGATTCGACAACGTCCTCACAGCCTGTGTCGTGTTTAAAGACTACGGTAAAAGTGTGGGCCTCAACGCTGAGACCGAGCCAATCTTCAGACCATATCTTCAGATCCGACACGTCAGGTTTTGGTATTCTTGGGTTTTGCATTCTATCAGGGTTCAGTAACCTCTCACGGAGGTAAGCCAGGGCTGGGGTGGCTTAAGATTTAAGGATGCCTAAAGCCAACAGCTTTTGGCCAGAGGCTGCAGGAGCTGCGCGTGAACCACTACGTCAATGCCCGTGCCCCGAAGGGCTCAACTAGCCTGGGGCTACGCTGCTGACCTTAAGCCCTCAGCAGTAGAATTCCAAACGAATCGTCAAGGAGCACGCAAGAATCTGGAATCCTGGAGCCTCAAACCTTAAACCCCTAACTCTAAACCCTAAACCCTGAGCCCCTAACTCTAAACCGAGAACAGAGGGAAAAAAGACCTAGAACAGCTGCAGCTACGACGGGCATGCATTTCACACACGTGAATGCGGCATGCACTCTCATACATATGCACTCATGTGTATGTATATATATATATATATATATGTATATATGTATGTATGTATATATATATATATATACACCTGTTTCTTGTATTATGTATAATGTAGTATGCGTGTATATATGTACATATAGATGCATATGTACGTAAATGCAAGCTCATGCTTGTACATAGAGATGGGCAAATAGACAGATCAATGCACATGCTCGCCTCTGTTCCTGTATGTACACGCATTTGTGTGCATTTGTATGTGTATATTTATACCCATATATACAGATTGTTATAGTAGACAACGCTACATTATAGTTGAATTTCGCATGTTATAGTAAACTATAGTATAGTACCAGTATATGGATCAGCCGTTGCTCCTAGGCCTTGGACCGCGAGCGCTGCGGTGCCAAGTACTGTGCTTCTTTCGATGACTCTGCGCTTTGGGCCGAGGCGGCACTGAGAGACAAAACAACATCTAATTGCCCGGGTTCCAATTTGGGGCTTGTGTGGTGGACCTTTGCGAGTGTATCCGTTCGCGCATTTCGGGGCTGCTTTGTGGGAATGTGGGCAGGCATCCCCCTTGTTGCAGCCTCTATGGGTCAGATAATCGCAACACAAATGTTGTCCTTGCTGGTCTTTGGGTCGGTGATCCAGTGACCTTGAGGCCTCCTTCGGGGTGAGGCCGGGTCCCAACAACTTGGGTGGGCTGGCTCCGTTGGTGGCCTCACTCCCCGCCCTGCCGCCACGTGATGGAGCCGGTACGAGCCTCGGCTTGGTCTCCTCCCCTGGGGCTTGCCTCTGCAGGCAGCACCCCGTTTCTGTGCTTCCGCCCAACAAGCGCGCGACAGTTGCCTCTGCATGCGTGGGAGCATATCGGTACAGAAATACTGGGTGTCGTCCTCCAGGCGGAATGTTCCCGGCAACTGCAGCCCAGGCTGTCCGTCCGGTCCCGAGGACAAGGCGAAAAACTTCAACCTGGCAAACGTGGGGGTCTCGTCCACGCGTTAAAGCCCTGAGTTGTCGGCGCATTTTGCAGAGCAGAGCACATCTGTTGCCCGACATGCAGCGACACGTGGGATTTGACGACAGTCGGAGGCGCTTGCAAGTGTCTATTGGGGGTGGTAGGTTCCGTGGTAGAGTCTCGGAGTCTTTCGTAGCATTGTCTGCTTCGTCTTCTCAAGTCGTGATCTGGTGTAGTAAGCGCAAGCAAGCTTACTACTCCGAACTGTTGAAGTCGTAGCCGCGTCCTGTCGATCCACGCCAGTAGATGGGGGGAAGGTGCCGGGGAAGTCGTGTCAACCCAGCGTTTACATGGGGGTTCGCTGCTCGCCTTCTATACGAAGTAACCCGGATGCAGGGAATTGCTGAACAACGATCCTTGTGAAATCGAGCATGTACATGGGGAATGGCTATTTTGATGTGCTGTTTCGCCGTTCGGCTTCCATACGAAATACTCCCAATACAGGGATTTGCTGAACAACGATCCTTGTGAAATCGAGCGTTTACATGGGGAATGGCTGTTCTGATGTGCTGTTTGGCTGCTCGGCTTCCATACGAAATACTCCGAATACAAGGGATTGCTGAGCAACGATCCTTGTGAAATCGAGCGTTTACATGGGGAATGGCTGTTCTGATGTGCTGTTTCGCTGGTCGGTTTCCATAGGACATATCCCGAATACAGGGATTCGCTGAACAACGATCCTTGTGAAATCGAGCGCTTACATGGGGGAATGGCTGTTCTGATGTGCTGTTTCGCTGGTCGGCTTCCATATGAAATACTCCTGGGGG